TAAATTCCGCAAAACAAACTCCACCAACCAGTCGAAATGTTCGCCCTCTTCCATTTCAAGTTCGAGAAATTAAACAAGCTCTCAAAGCACACGACTTACACTCCTTCGTTTAAAAGCATGTATGCAACTATACCAACCAGTGTGATCAGTAAAATGTTAGAAATTTTGAACCATGGAAACACTTGAACACCGTAGAATTCCCAGAAATACGGCACTCAATCGAAAGACAAGCGATCAACAGACACGGTAACTTGAATACAAACCGAAAAAGTGTTGGTTTTTAAGTATTCGATTTATTTCGAGTAAGATCATTGGTTGACATCATATGAGGAATCATTCAAAGCCCGAGAATACTAGATATCTGCTGCGTCCTAGATTTGACTCTTCAACACACAGAAAGCAATAGAGGGCCGAACAAATTACCTTCAGGTTGCCTGCTGACTATTCCTTCGCATGGATGAAATACAATAACCAATGGTTCCTAACTACTGGCATTTCGCGATTTTTAGCATCACCAACAGCCAATGTCATAGCGGATTATTTGAACTTGCACCCGACCTGGTGAACACCATAGTCCATTATAGCTCAAGACAAGGGCATCCAGTAGTCAGTCTCTACTCACCATCCGAAGACGTGGTTAGCTGTCCTAGTTAACAGGTAATGGTTCATGTGTGATTCGTGGTTTCCAATGGTTCTCCATGCGATATCAATCCACAATTAAACTCAAATTCTCTTAATTCATCCATGTATTGAAGTCATACAATTTTTAGCCACACGTTCAGCAAATCTGCCAGCGTGTGCTTGTGAAATGTCACAAATTGAACAATTCTCACATAGACAAAAATATTGACGAATTCCCGGATATCTATCCTAAATAATAATCCTGCACTGGAATAAAGTATATCCCACAATATGGATACTAAAAATATGATCCTCAAACAGATAAATCGTGAACCAGCATCCCATTCTTCACTAAGATATTTACATATATCGCCCAAATGTGTATCACCATTACAATGGTTGAATTCTAGGCACTGCAGAAGAATTTAGTCTTCATTTGGACACACTCATTCTATGCAACACACAGTGTTGACAACGACAGAATAATTCCTCCAGAACTTGTTATTCACAATTATATTACCGTATTCTTACAACTTAATAACATTCTTTGCATCACTTTATTCCTTTTGAGTTCAACAGATATTTCTTCATGTCCCAGATTTGTTAGTTAACAATAGTGACTTTCAGTTATATCAGGCAGTGCTGTCTCTCAAATGTGTGTGTTTCGTTCCGTCGCATTGGGATTACTTCTCACATTCGACTGTATCTTAATCGATTGCTGTCATTGGTAGATTGAAAAACTAACCTGACTGCCAGCTGAATGGATTGATCACAATTCGTTTCAGTTAGCACTACCTCTTCTAGCATTCTTCGTTATCATCAAACTGCCACCATATACGTTTATTGGTGAGTGGTTAGTTCGTTGTGGATAGTGAACTTAAAAATTTAGGAGTGAACCGAAACATTGGGATTCTCCAGCAAATTCATTCCTGTTGGACTTACTCGTACTGAGAAGAAGCCCAGAAAAAAAAAGGAAGGGACTATTTTGAAGTGCATCTGAAGGTTTCAAAGAAACTTCCATTGAGAAATTGTATGCTTATCGGAAGTTGAAAATATAGAGAATTGTGAATTTCAATAAGTAATATCACTGTTTTCCTTCTCCACTCCCCTTTCGTGAATGCAAATCAATGCAGTTGGAAACGTATGGCAGCCAGATAAAAACAATTAACATCTAAGATCAACTTCATAGACAGTTTTCAATATTCTGAATTCCAAAACACTACTTCCAACTATTCATAGATGTTTAAGTGTCTACTGGATGTTAATTCCAACTTACATTACTCATCATAGTCTTACAAATTGTAATCAGACAAGGTTGAAGCTCGATTTTTATATGTAGAGAAGATTCTGGTACATGAAAACGCAGAATAATGAGAAGTCAAGCGTGAGTATTTAAATAAAATCCACACATTCACACCCATATTTGGATTTTTGTTTGGAAGTAGAACTAGTTACATTTTCCATTAATAAGGCGAAACCAACACGTTCACGGCATATAACAGTGACTATGACAAGAAATAACTATCCTGAAAATTGAATCATGAATCACACAGCATATCTTAGGAATAAAATGAAGTATGCTATTTATGAAAATAATTACAAGCATTCTAAGAAAGATGACAATGATTGCAGTAGGTGATTAAACATCAGTGCCCCCGCCATACAAAAAGTCAACCCCTGAAAGCTTGAATAGAGTTCTTGGCAAAGACAGGGACACATTTATATGCACGAACCCAATTAGACGTAAAATATGTCATCCAAAATATCTTGTGGATCCCAACAGAACAAAATATTTCACCTTATCCAATACTCCAGAATGACAGGAATGTCAAAGTAGTGGAGTGGTGTAGGGTGGATTAGTTGAGCGAAAAGGAACTAGTGTAATTTAGGTTATTCGACATAGATAAAGTAGGGAATTCAGAAAAAGGCTAAGGCATAGGATCATGAACAGTTACATTCATTGCAGGATGAGGTGGAACAAAGTGGCAGTATTAAAATCTGATAAACCATGGTGTAGAGTGAGACGTTGATAATTGAAGATGTTTTTATCAAATCACTTAAGAACTCGTGCAATGCAAATAAATCGACAGCTATTCCGGACACATGCGTAATTCAACCAACCGCATAACAAATAGGAAGAAAGAAAGAGAAATATAAATATTGTATTCCGAAGTTGCCTAATTAGAGTTTATCCACGTATGACCGATGAATCGTGTCTGAAGTATCATCCAGTAAGCATTACTATTTCAAGATGTTGACTAATGTAAGGAAATTTTGAAATTGTATATCCCCATTGTGCCCATATCGCATAAATGTACATCAACTCTGCTGAAACTTCTTTTAATGTTTGTTGTCGCCATATGTTCCACTTAGAAGGCAAATGAAGAAAGAAGAGTATTTTTTCTCAAATGTTGAATGAAATTATTCATTTTTTGGTGGTGAATGAATGAAATTCCAGTGACAACACTCCCTATAATGCCGATGATCATGGTTTACACTATCTGAATATAAGATATAAAATTTACTGAAGAAGTTTCAAGCACAATTTATCGCCTCTCATAATCATATCAAGATACTCACCCAATTTTCTAACTTCGTTTATATCACTCCATTTTTTCCTCCGTGTGATCTGATTTTAGTACCAATTTCCATATTTCCGGTAACAGTGATGAGTGATTCCTAATGCACGTGTTGCGTGTCGGGATACTCGATGAACAAAGATTCAGTAATCAATCTCTCTCTTCCAAAATCGCTTAGCTTCGCTGGATTTTATGTGTTCGACAGTCGGACTGCCCGCGACCTACTAGTTTGATTTTTGTAGTTGACATCACAGTAATTGCAGGGTATTTTGTAAATTGTGATAATAAGGCTGATTGCGTCAACCTACAGGGTGCCTAAGCCTGCAGAGATTGTCCTGCCGAATGAGTTTGTAGGTTTAAATGCCACTTTAATTCATGCTTCATTAAGAATCTTACGTAGGGTCTCAGATATCACCTCCTTACATAATAAAGTTACTGTGAATGCCTTATATTTTCTCTTATTTATGTTGTCATTACCATTTTCACAATTATTTTTATTTCCCTTTTGACCTTTTTCATATTCCTAATGAAATTTATAGAATAGTTGTTCTACAATAATGCTTCTTCTATCAGTTTCATTTCATCATTCAGGTCTTTTCTTGTACTAATTAGTGTTTCTTCTCCTTTTGTTAGACACTTAACCAAGCCTGTCTTAACAGGTAATGGATGAGATGAATTAGAGTCTAAATATCTATTAAAATGTGCTTGTTTTCATAAACGCGAGTGTGAAGTCCGCCCTCTTCTATTCCTCTTATTTTACATTCTAACATCACAGCTAATTCTCCTTGTTCATTTTCCGATTCTCATATTATATATTCCTTTATTGGTGAGTTTATATGTATGAAGAAACTAGGGATATATTCTGTTTTGAACACTGTGAAAGTGTCATCAACAGATCTTCATCATTTTTGGAGTAGGATTAAATAAATTAAGGGCCATATTTCCCAGCTCTCCATAAAGATTTTTGCTACGATAGCGGATATTGGTAATCCCATTGCTACACCTTCTGAATTCCTTTAATAATTACCTCAATTCGCAGCTTCGACGTATGGGTGAGTTCGGGATCTGCAGTGAGTTCTTTCTTAAGTGCTTCTAAGGCCATATTGACTGGTATATTAGTATAAAGACTAGTTATATCAAAGCTAACCTTCATCTCATAGGAATTAGTTAGTCTAGAGACTAAACGATATCTAATTTAGTCTAATCGACCAGTCTCAATATGTTCAGTAACTTTCTTGATATAGTCCGATTTATCCGAACCTCTTGTAGAGTTTCCTTTTTCAGCTTTTGCAATGACGATGTTTTTATCCTGTTCTAGACTGATTAGAGCTGGTTCTTCAAATTTTGTTGAGTTTTGATTTTCAGGTTTGATGCAGATTGTATTCGAACCTCTACTGCTGTCGTCCTATCTATTGAACTAAGTGATACGTCTATGTTAGGAATGACATCCTCTGGCTTCAATTTAGTAACTGCCACGTTGAAATTTACTCCTTTCTTGAGAAATTCCAGCCCACCAGAGCTAAATTCTTATGATCACACACTTTTTTTCTGTAAACGTTGTTGTCTTCTTCATCATTTATTAGGCTGTCCCTTTGATTTTCTCAATGCTGTTTCTCCAGCTTTTTCTCAAACCAGTTCCATATGATGTGACTGAACGCAAAATTGAAGATATTCAAATTTATTTATTTGTCAAAAGTAACATTGCATGATCAAGGTGAAAATATTAGTGCATTTTCACATGCAGCAGGAGTTTCCTCAAATGGAATATATGCCGCTGCAAACATTATGAGCATTTCTAACCGTAAACAGAAGGCTCGAAATATTATTGTGCAATAAACATCTTTATATGCGGTGCAAAATCGCAGTCTATTCACCGTCAGAAAAATGGCCTACAATGTAAGAAAATAAGTCATATCAAATGAATTGTAAATTCCATCACTCACAAATATTCCGTTCGCTTTAACGTCTAATAAGCTACGCGGAGAAGATATATGTGGTGCGGATCTACCGGGGAAACAGAATGCGACACTCAAGCACACAGACACAGAAATGCATTGTTTCTTCCACTTAAATAATGAGCATTTGGAACTAAGCGTTTCATCTTCTAGACAGAAAAAGTGACTTCTTATGTAAACTTCCTCTGGGTCAGACATTTTTTGAAAGACCATCAAAGAATGTCAAGAGAGGAGATGCAGTATGAGAGTGATTGCTAAGTCATGAGACTACACAACCTCCACATTTTGTTCATTCAAATGGTGAGGAATTGAGTTCATAAATGGACAGCTGACTGAGTACAAGTTCATGTCTCTGGTATTTCGATGCAAATTCAGTCTAAGTTGAAATTTCCAAGCAGCATGAACAATCATCTCTCTAACAGTTGGTATGTGTTTCTGTGAATCGAATGACTGACTTGTGAAATAACATGTGCACACATTCGCAGGTATTCAGATGTAACCAAACTATTACGAACAACAAGCTTTCAGAACGTATCAGTACTCAGATAGTCAAGGGAAGTTGGTCTAACTGCAAACAATTTTTTCACCTTACTGCACTCAGAAGATCCTGGGTTCGAATCCCGGTGTGTGCGTACTGCTCAAGAGTCTCAAACTAGGACGAAACAGCTGTTCAATATTCCCAGGTTTTCCAGTGGTTCTCTAACTGATGTCAGCTCATGATTAAATCCTCCACGCAATCAAACAAAATCCTTACAAAACCAATATTTTCAATACATCATGATGGAACTTACCAAAACCATAGCGAAAAGGAAGCAAACTCCAACGGCGATTCTCAGGTTCTTCTGAAAACATGAAAAATTATAGGATAACGTGAAAATAAATAAATCGAAAGTTCTGGTTTTATGATATCCGAAATGAAATTTTAACATTGAAACTATCGGTGAACCAATGTTTCAGACGTGACCATGGCTAAAATGGTTCACACTCACTCCAGCGTAACCGACTTTGCAAAGTAAACCAGCTGAAGTAATAACTCGCAAACATAAGTTTATATATTTCAGATATTTCAGTAAGACCAAAGTCATACGGTGTTGTTAGGCGTTTGATAGTACGCCATCATCGATTAGCATCATAAATTTCAAAACACCTCGGATTCCGGTCACGTTGTATGCAGGTGGAATTCAAACTATTCAGATGTCAGTAGGCATAACAAATAACAAAATCGTAATGACATATTTTAACAGATTACTTCAACTGATCTGACAAGGATACCCCACAGTCGTTGTATTTTCAACCTTCGACATACTTGACTTACAGCGAGGAACTCCCTTCATGTCAACATTCGTTGTCAACAAGACAACACCTCACTCTCAGTGAAAATATCTCATTTCAAGTTAAAAATGTCAAAGACTGTGATATATTTCGCATTTGTTTTTGGTTGTTACCTGTTTTCCCTCCTTTACGAATTCAATAATGAACATAATAATTCCACTGAGTAGTGAAGCACATAAAACCGCGAAAAGTGTAATGGTAAATTGAAAATTCGAATCCCTCATATATAGAGCCATATGGAGTACAGCTGCAGTCACTACAAGTGTCAAACCGATGGCTGTCAAAGCTGTATATAAATAAACAGTATTGAACGCAGTGGCAAAGCCCATTGAGCATAGTGTGAACTAAAATGAAAAAACAAGGTGTCATATTAAGAAATTATTACAATGAAGTGCACATGAATAGTAGACGGATTTGTTAGTGGGGCATATTTTATTATGAAATTTCAGTATTTTGTTGATGTATAAGTGAAGCGGCCTCTTTTGCATCTTTGAATTTTCATGATTACTCCCTGAAATTCACTGGTCTTTATACGACTAACAGACGACTGCAAAACAAAATACCAGGTCCTCGATCTTCGACCGCATTCAACCACAGCTTACAAATGCACAGATGGCAATCCACTTGATAAATTAATGATTCATTTTTTCATCGAGAACGGACGTAGTGAATTTATGTGAGGTTATTCACACTGTGAAACCCTCGTTTCAGTAGTTGTGTATCACTTGTTGATTTCATGTGCTGCTTTGACATGCAGTAAAAAAGTAGAGACAGGTATGAGAATACTAAGTCAACGTTACTTCAAGTACTAGTGATTGTGGGATTATTAGGAACTCAGCAATTTGCTTAGATTATTCAAAGAAACTTCACAATTCTGAATGTGATTGATGCTTTTAAATATGTGAGTAGGTGATTGATTTCATGTTTGTGTTGAATGAAGAACGTCTCCTCGTGAATTGGATATCGATATTTCATTTGCTGGACAATTCACAAAGACACACTTCAGACTGAGATTCCGTCAAGAATAAGGACCATCTCTTCACATTCGAACTATATTTCAGGGTTTGTCACGCATTCGCTACACATATCTGCGTGATTCACATCTCCAGAAAATGTCATTGTAATAGAAAGTGGACTTCATCGAGAAAATCACGACTTCAGTAGAGATGAATAGTGACGTCTGTTGCTTAATGAAGATGTAATACTCTACCCCATGCAGACGGCAACATGCGTCACCAAAACACATTGCACATTTATTATAAACACATAGAAACGTCGGAGTGCTTGATGAAAAGATTGTCAAAAGAATAAGTTTTTATCAGCATGCCTTATGATGCAGTTGGTTAGAACTCGATTAGATATCTTACGATATGAATTCTGCCTAAAACATCTTAAATCAGCTGCTTAATGCTTTACGCGGTACACCAGTCTGGTGAGGTGGCTGTCGGGCAAAAGCAGCATATGAAAGTGTGAGCCAAATTACTGACGAATGTGTGACAGGGGCAGGGAAACAGTTTCCAAAGTGGGAAGGACCACATATGGTCACTTCGAGAGGGGGTTTCGCAGACACAATCGCAATGGCGAACAACGAGAGGCGCCTGAACGTTAGCGGGCTCCAGAAATTGATACAGCGAGACAAGCCTACGATGACGCCTGCACCAAGAAGATCAAGCCGACTTCAGTCGCAAGTCTTTGACGGGGGAACGAGTGTGATGAGAGCGGGCTGCTAGACAATTGGTAGACATTAATCTACGTCAATGTCTAGGTCACGAATATTGGCCGTGAGAAAATATGAACAAGGCTGATTCAACAACTTGTCACAGCAGACTTAAACATGGCCAGATATTATTCGCAGATAGATGGCTCCACTTTCAGAGGAACTCGAAAACAACCAATCAAAAGACTGCGTTCGTCTACTTGAATAATCTATAGTAATGTACAGGAAATATATATAAATACGTGCTGATTTCCGTAATAAAATGATTTGTTGCCTGCCCTTGTCTTCTCTTGTTACATATTTACCTCATTTCTTGCATCACTTATCAGCTTAAGTCGTTTGTGTGTATACGAATATTGAACGTTACTCATTAAATACATTCGAAATGATAAATCTGACAGACAAGAATTGAATCACTTACACTAAATCCGATCAGAAAATGATCAATTTCACGACGATATCCGAGGAGTTTGAGTAATGAGAGAACAAGAATTGGAAGTGTTCCGATTGATCTGAAATGAGTAATTATTATTGGTCAATTAAATCTGTGACTACAGAGTCTGTTTTCAAATCGAACCCAATATTTGCATCAATAAAGTGTTATCAAATGACTCATTATGGTACTGTTGATATTCTTTGTGATTATATGTCTTCTAGTTGTTTTTCATTTACTTTTCCCTTAACTTATTTGAAAGATTTATTACTATTATGTACTGACAACGTCCATTTCACGTTTGAAGGTGAACATTTTCGACAAGTGAATGGCGCTGCTATGGGAGTCCATTAGGACCTTTGTTAGCTTATGTTTACATGTTTTATGTTGAAAACTAATCCTTTGATTTAATTGCTAAATTGCTTTTCTATAAGGGATATGTAAATGATATCATTTTAATATGCGACGATCATAAAGATGCGAGTCGTCTATTAGACAGACTTAACTCTGTACAGAATCATATTGGTCTTACAGGTGAGGAAGAAAGTCGCAACCAGCTTGCAATTTTAAACATTCCGCCGAGTCGAAGAGACGATGGCTCAATAAGACGGTCTATCTACAGAATGCCCACTTAGACAGGGCAATACCTCCATTTTCACAGTTTCTGTCCATTACAGTATAAGAGAGGCTTGGTGAAATGTCTATTTAAGAGGATTCAGTTTATTTCCACGGTTGATGTTATAAGCAAAGAAAACGAAATATTGATGGTTACTCTTATTGAAAACGGATATCCTTTAAAATGTTCAAACAGATGTAGAAGTCAACTAGTCTCTAAACCTACAATCCATACCACCCTTAGGAAAAACATTATTCATCAAATTACCATATAACGGTGAAATAAACAGTAGGATTTTGAGACAAAGGTTGGATTCTATCATCCGTAGAACCTACTACTCAGCCCAGCTTGTAATTGTGGAAAAAGCTAAAAATATGCTTCACTGTAAACCTCAAAAGTGCACAAGTGATTATGTCACATCCCACACAATTTACCAATTTTCGTGTGTGTGTGGACACACATTTATAGGGAGGAGTAACGGCCCTTTGCACATGAGGGTAGGAGAGCATATCCCAAAATGGTTAGAAAAACAAATTAATTGTGACAAGCCAACAGATGCAGGTGTCAGACTACCGACTTCGTCTATAGCTAAACACCTAATCGAGATGAACCATAAGATTGATGTTAACTGAGACTTTAAGGTCATCTATAAAAACGGTCAAGGGCGCTTACCGAGATACACTGAGGCTATAGCTATTCATAAACTTAAGCACCCCTTGTGTGTTCGAAAACAGTTTGTTATTACTCTTAACCTACCTTGGTAATCTTTATTTGATTGGATTACCAAACGTTTGTATTAATTATTCTTAATTCTTCTCTTTGTCACTTTGTTTAATTTAACTTTTCCATGAATGTTGACTTGACAAGTAAATGTGTGATAAAATTGTTCGAAATGAATAGCACAAATACATCACATTTTTTAGACAATCTCCATCTTCTAATAACGCTATCAAAATTTATAATAGGCACTAATTGTTTTAGCTTGTTACAGCTGCAATAACCATCTGTTATATGATATCTGACTGGCTAAAGGTTTCTTGTAAATTGTAGGAATTTCCTACTATTTGAAATGTACCTGCATATATGCTACCAGTAATTACGTAACATTCATGCAATTTATACGCAGACACCAGAACAAACAGAGAATGAGCAATGCAAATATCTGAAATAATCAACCCCTTCATGAGGTTTCGTAGGGATAGACAGATAACTCATGAATCTCTCCATAAAAGGTGTGTGTACAAGTTTCATGATTATATGTTGATGGAAAACGTTATGCAATGAACTTACATCAAAACAATTGTCACCCAGCTGTGGTCTTCAATCCAAAAACAAAATTCTTTCCTGTCAAAAAAGTGCAATTATTATGTTGATGAGATTCTGGCCTACACTTTGTTGACCATAACAACCATTGTCAGTGTTACTAAAAGCATCAGCAATGTGTCGACTATCATCTGCATGGAGCAGTTTCATAACAAGCTGTTCATTTGTTACCCAGACGAAGAAGTGTAGAAGTTTACCTGTTCTCGGGGTTGAAGGTGTATCTTTCAAATGATTGGATCCTTCACGTTTCGCGGACATATTTCGACCTATAGAATATTTTTCAAAGAAACACAATAGTTCGAAGATTAACTTAACCCCATGTTTCAGAGATGAGTACGATATAAATTGCTGGGGAAGAGAGTATTCACAAGCAGCCAGAATTCAATATATTATTTGTTTTATGCCAATCTTCAGTGAGATGAGGCATGTTTGCAGCTATTTATTACGAAATATATTTTTCGTTAAACGACAATATTTACGTTGCATGTAACAATTGTCCCTCAGGAGTCATAACATGAGAAGTTTCAAAGTGGAAGCGGATAAGCGAATTAGCATAAATATCCGTACTGTCTTTAATTCGTCCATTGCTAACATCAAGTACTGTTGTAATACTTATGGGCTTTTACATACTTGAATAGAGATGTCATAATGAAATCATCACATGATAACATGCTCTGTCTCTCCACCCTTACTTTTCTAAGTGAATTATCACTCTTTCCGTTGTAAACAGGATTCAAGCTTTCAGAATGTGAATTTGTCAGAATCATTTAACGTTGAAGTGATTTATTATTGTCAGTATGTGAAAGTATAAGGTCGTGCTGATCTATTAACCTTTTTTATACGGTCTTTATCTCACTTTATGGCAGGTCGAATACCCTCAGGCTACATTAGCCTCTTTTTCGTCCAGTTCACTATCACCAGACAACGTTCACCTACCAATTACTACATTCTAGATAAAACGTAATTTTTCAAAAATAATGGCCGCTGGATTCTCAGTTAATCAATCGCTGCTCTGCCTTTCGATACGTAACTGTACATGAATCAATCAAACTTCCTTCCATGATTCATCTTCGATGACAACCATTATTGACGTTCATGGATATTTATGAACAGATAATTTGCAGAGCACACACAACGTTATGTACACAGTCAGCAATATAAATCAAGTTTGTGAAGACAAAAAATTGTACTTAATGAAACTGATAATAGATCTGTCGTTCAAAACTTACCCATCATGCGTTCAGAGTTCTTTTCT